GAGTCTTGCTCTGTCGCCCAGGCTGGAGTACAGTGGCCTGATCTCGATCTACTGCAACCTCCACCTCCTGGGTTCAAGCTATTCTCCTGCCTCAGCCTCCTGAGTAGCTGGGACTACAGGCACCCGCCACCACGCCCCACTAATTTTTTGTATTTTGGTAGAGGCAGAGTTTCACCATGTTGCCCAGGCTGGTCTCAAACTCCTGAGCTCAGGCAATCCGAGGCGGTGTTTTCTTTTCTTTCCCTGTCATGGTGGCATCTGTACGGTCGACTCTCAGTCATTTATGTGGTTTACCCATTTGCCGCCACCCCCAGTTGCTTATCCCGCTAACCTTTCCCTGCCACCTCAAAGACTTCATTTTTTTCCATAATGTTTTTTTCTAAGAATAAAGGACTGCATGTTTATTATCAAAAACAGAAAAAATACAAAGACCAACATGCAAATGACCCATCATCTCACCCAGAACCTGATGTCTCTTGTTCCCAGCCCCCACTTTCAGGCATGTGCTTTGGGCGCGGGATGGTAGAGAGGGAGCTGTTGGTCTATTGTTACTTTACAAAACTGCGATCGTCCATATTGTAACATTCAGTCCTGTACCCTGAGGTTTTGTACTGAACATGATGTTCTGAGCAATTCCCTAGGTTGTTAAAAGACTGAACACGTAGGTGCCTTTCAGCGGTTGCATGAAAGTCGACCAGTTTTAGTCAGTTCTCCATGATTGGATATTGAGGTTTGCCACTTTTTGCTACTATAAAAACACTGCAGTAAGCATCATTAAGCAGTGATTTTTGGCTGTAACGCATAATTTAAAAAATATTTACCTAGTTAGAAAACTGCTGCCGTAAAAAAGGAACCAAATATTCCCAAATGCAATGTAGATGACTTTTACCTTCTAGATTCTCTCTCTGTGCCATCAGCACAGATAACTGAGCATGCTCACTTCAAAAGGGCTTGCAGGGAAAGGTGTAGGTCGGAGATGGTGTTGGGGGCACTGGCAGAAATGGTCGCTCCAAAGTACTTCCCAGGGACCGTGGTGTTGGAGGTGACCAGCAGATCAGGAAAGACACATTTTTATGGGCACTGAAGTGGGTACTGAAGTCAATTAAAACATTTTTTCATGGACTCCATAGATGCCAAATTCTAAACTGCTCAAATCAAACGGAACAAAGGGATGATGTTATTGTGTCAGACTCCTTGATGCCAGTTGTTATCAGAGGAGGACTGGCAAGGTCAAAGCCCTTGCAGTGGTGCTGTGACGGTCCCTGGGCATCTGCCAGTTGGGGTGGCATTTCAGCTGGCAGACTCCTGCCCATGGCCTTTTCTTCTCCTTGGCAGGTTCTCTCCATGCCATCACCATGTTTTCCCTGTCCACCCTCCTCATTGCTATGTTAATTGCCTTTGCTGGCATTTTTCTGGGGAAACTTCGGATGGTTGCCGACTACGAGGTGAGTTGCCAGCCTGCCCCTCCTCCACTGGTTCTCCTGGTCCCTTGGGGGACACAGCTGTAGGATACCCTCCATGCCCGGGCTCCCATAGCACCACAGGACGAAAGGGTCTCGCCTTTCTCTCTGACCGTAGAGCATGGAGCCCAGTGTGCATGCGTGCATGCCTTGCACTAGCTTAGGCTCTGGCCCCCATCCAGAAGACAGCTATCCTCTCCTTTTCTGCCCTCTGACACCTCCAAACTGCAAGCTGCTGGCCCCTCCTTCCTGTGATGTGGGTCCAGTGCAGTCACTGAGCTGTGAGCCTCCAAGGACTGGAGGTCAAGAGACAGGACGGAGCAAAGGAGGTTGGCGGGGGAGTTGATGATGATTCAAAAAAGGGGGGATTGTCGTTTTTTCTCCTTTAAGACCCCAGGCTATTGAACTTGAGGCGGCCATGTTTGGAGGTGGCCCCTGCCCCACATGATTCCTTTGGTTGTTGGCAGTGGGTCCAGCCTAATCATTAGGAGAAGGGAGCCAATCCATGCCCTTTTAGAGCCATGCCAACAACTGTGTGTTCTAGCTCAGCATTTCCCAGAATGGATATCTATCCTGGGGCACTGGAATGATTTCCAGTGGATCGCAACATGATTTTTCATTTTTCATGGTTACGTATTTAACATTAACTTTCTGCTTATGGCAACTGAAATACAGTTTTCTGTTTATAAAAGTGAATCATTTCCTTTTTAAATGAATGTATATAAAGAAAAGAAAGCTGATTTTAAGGACTGACACCCTGCTGAGCCTGAGGAGGGACTCGGAGAAGGATCTCTTTGCTGCTGGGGTCTCTGTGTCCAGGGCTCTGGGCACAGGCGCCCACTGCCCTCTCTGCCCAGCCTTCCTTTTCCACGCCTGGCTGGAGCACCACACTAGTGAAGGGTCTTGTGAATGACCCCGCTGGCTCTGTCTTTCTAATAGAGCAGCATTATGTGATTGGGTTGGCCAGGTGTCCATGCTAGAGAAGGAGGATGGCCAGGAACCTAGGCTGTGTTGGTGTAGGACACTTTCCAAATTAGAGGGGAAGCCCCAGGAGGAAAGACGGCAGTGCTGAAGTCAAGGCTTCTCTTGGAGTCAAAGCAGGCTTGTCTTTGAACTTCAATTCCAGCTCTGCTTACTTCCTCCCATAATGGCCCTTGGGAATAGAACATTCCAGAAGGGACTCCCTTGCATCCCAGCCTTCTCTCTGTCCCCCTGGGCCTCAGTCTCACCAGACTGGAGGTTTGGAAAGACAGAAGATGAGTTGAGTTCCAAGGTGGCGAGAAGCCCAGGTGTGGAGTTGAGGCTCCTCTGGGTGTGGGGGGAAGGGCAAAGAGCAGGCCTCCATCCTGTAACCCACCACCTCTCCCTGCTGCAGCCCGAGGAGGAGGAGATCCAGACGGTGTTTGACATGGAGCCGAGCAGCACCTCCTCCACGCCCACCTCCCTCGTGAGTCCTGAGTCCCAGGGACAGGTCGGGAGGGCGGTGCTTGCAGGGGTGGTCTACTCCAGTGGCATCGTGGGGGATGCCAGCATTTGCTGCCCACTCTGGGTACGGGGGAGGACATAGGGGACCCCTGGGCTCCCTCCTCTAATGGAGCAGGACTTGGTCCAGGTCCAAATGCTGCCGTGGCCCTGGATGAAGAGTGAGAAAAAGAGAAGAGCCACCATGTACTCGTCATTGTCTAGAAGGCAACCAGAGAGGAAGTACTTGGTCAGGGAGGCCAAGACCACAGCGACCTCAGTCATGTAGACACAGGGGGGCCCGCTGAGGATTGGCCTCAGGACCAAAGGCTGCCCCTGAGGCACAGGGGCAGGCAGAGCGACACAGACAGAGCTTCAGGGAACTATTAGAAGTCTGCACTGCTGGTAAGGCAGGGACGCCGAATGAGCGAGCCTGTCTGCATGCAGAGAGGCTGGCTCAGAGTGCAGGGCCCGCAGGCTGGGTGCTGGCTCTCACACGGTGGCTCAGCCTGGAGGGGAATGGGCATGAGCACCCACCCACATCCCTGCCACAAATTCAGCTGCAGAGCCACCAATGAACGCACTGAGGTGGGTACTGGGGTCAGCCCGTGCCCCAAGGCCAGGGCTCCTGGGAGGAGCTCTGAAGAAGGGTGCCAGGCTGGCACTTGGCGAAAGCATCCCAGAGGAGGCAGCATCGAATCTGACCCCAGGAATGGGCATACAGGGTGCCAGGTGAAATAGGGTGTGGGGCAAGAGTTTTCAAGGAAGAGTTGCAGCCTGTGCAAAGGCCTGGAAGACAGACCAGAGCTTGGGGGACTCAAGACAGTTTTCGGCACAGTGGGAACACGGCGTGGGCGGCAGGGCCCTATGGGAGACAAGGCTTTCTTTAGTTGTGGGCAGAGCTGGGTGTGAGTGCACAGTGACACAAGCACAGACAAAACACCAGCAAATGGACAGAAGTCACTGGGGTGCCAGATTTGCCTCGCTTTGAAAAACCCCGTATACAAGTCACCGGGGTGCCACGTTTGCCTCACTTTGAAAAACCCCGTATACAGGCACAGATTATCTCTGAGCGGGGACAGGAGAGGGTGCTTCGGTAATGAAGAGACGACAAGGATTTCAAAGCAAGAAAGTCTCTCTTTTCTTGGGACCCTTCCGAAAGGACCCCTCTGGGAATATTGTTAGCAATAAGTTTTTGAAATCTTCTCATGAGCCTGGTGCTTTGCTGTTTTCGCTCTTAATCTTTTGATAAACCCACACAGTAGGGGTTTTCATCCCAAAATGGAGGCTCAGAAGTTCCGTCAATATAGACTCCAGGGCACCAAGCAAGGAAGTGTCAGGACGAAGTTCGAACCAGGTCCATCTGACTCTAAAGCTTATGCTTTTAAAAAACATGACTAGGATTTATTTTTTAAATCCTGCCTTATTACAACAGGGCTATGTGAACATTGCACATCATTATAGGGGGAAAGGATAAGCAGAAATAAGAAAATAAAAAGTCCATATTCCCACCACCCAGAGATGACCACTGGTAGTGTATATTCTTCCAGATATTTATATACTATGTATCTCTTCCAGATAATTATGTATGATTTACATAGTTTTGCTAAAATGAAATAGTACTGCACATACTGTTTTATAACCTTTTTTTGTTGAGTGGGGACAGTCTTGCTGTGTTGCTGAGGCTGGAGTGAAGTGGCACCATCTTGGCTCACTGCAACCTCCGTCTCCCAGGTTAATGCGATTCTCCTGTCTCAGCCTCCCAAGTCGCTGGGATTACAGGCATACACCACCACACCTAGCTAATTTTGTATTTTTAGTAGAGACGGGGTTTTACCATGTTGGCCAGGCTGGTCTCGAACTCCTGACCTCAGCTGATCCACCTGCCTCGGCCTCCCAGAATGCTGGGATTACAGGCGTGAGCCACCACGCCTGGCTTATAACCTGCATTTTTAGTTAACAATCCCTTTCCATATATATCAATTTTTGATCTCTTTGAGCACCCAGCCCATATTCAAATTTCCCTAATTGTGCCAGAAGTATCTTTTAGAACTTGTCCAACCCAATATCAAATCTAGCATGTGTGCATCAGGTTTTCATGTCCCTTTTATTTTAGCACAGTGCCTTTTAAATGACTGGAGAGACCAAGCCAGCAGTCCTGCAGAATATTCCACCTGGATTTTTCTGGCTGTTCATGATGTCTTAGGACAGGTTCCGTGATCTCCTGTATTCCCTGAACACTGGAATTTAGATCTGATGGCTTGATAGATTCAAGTTCAACATGGGGCTAAAACACATTGCAGGTAGTGTTGCAATGTATACTCAAGATGTAACATCCTGTTAATTCCCATTCATTAATGATGCCATCATGACCCTCTAATTAGGGAAATGACAGAAGGATTTTTCCATGGTTCAGTTGACATTTTCCCCTTTATGACCAAAAGGTCATCTAGATGGTTTACCTGGGTGCCATGCAAATGTCTAGATTCTTTTGTAGGAAAACCACTCCTTTGACCAGGGCTGTTTGGTTTCACTGAAATAAACTCCTACGGGGAAGGTTTCATTCCATTCCCTAATTACCTGTTTTCAAAGTAAAGAGATGGTTTAAGAGCCACTTCAGAGGATGACAATTGCTCTTTTTCCTAGTATGTCCTGTGTTTTTCTAGTCTGCTGCCGTCCCAGGCATGGGGATCATTCCTGGGTGTGACAGGTCATATGACCAAAGTCTCTGCTAGCAGTTCCACATCTTTTTCTTCTTTTTTTCTTTTTTCTTTTTTTTTTTTTTTTGAGACAGAGTCTTGCTCTGTCGCCCAGGTTGGAGTACAGTGGCGCGGTCTTGGCTCACTGCAACCTCTGCCTCCCAGGTTCACGCCATTCTCCTGCCTCAGCCTCCCGAGTAGCTGGGACTACAGGTGCCGCCATCACGCCTGGTTAATTTTTTGTATTTTTAGTAGAGACGGGGTTTCACTGTGTTAGCCAGGATGGTCTCGATCTCCTGACCTCATGATCCACCCACCTCGGCCTCCCAAAGTGCTGGGATTACAGGCGTGAGCCACCGAGCCTGGCTGCAGTTCCACATCTTGAGGACAGGCCAACCAGTGACAGACCCCAGGGGTGTTCTGAATGTGCCGCTGAAGCTGTATTAGAAAGTACACTAGCTCAGGAAAGGGGGTCTCTCCGACCCCAGCTGAGGGGAGCCTCATGTCACCTTCCCTGGATGCGGCTTGACTTGGAACCGAGAGTGAATGGAACACGTTCTAAAGGAGCAGTGGACTAGGAGTGGGGAGTCCTGCCACTAAACCAGCCCTGGGAGCACCTGGATGCTCATTAAATGATCAAGAAAAATTAGGTAGGTGGGGCAGACAGGACCCAGGCTGCTGGGGAAGAAGGCAGGCTCCAAGGTTTGGAGGAGACAGAGGCGATGGGGGTGGGGCGTGGGGGAGAGGGTGTGCCCAGGGCCTTGCTCCGGACGTGACCTTGTTTCTGTCCCCTGTCTCTATCCCAAGCAGCTATATGTGGCCACCGTGCTGCAAGAACCGGAGTTGAACCTGACCCCCGCCTCCTCCCCAGCCAGGCACACCTATGGCACCATGAACAACCAGCCGGAAGAGGGAGAAGAAGAGAGTGGTCTGAGGGGCTTTGCAGGGGAGCTAGACTCGGCCCAGTTCCAGGAAGGGCTGGAACTGGAGGGCCAGAACCAGTACCACTGACTGGGACCTGAGGCCTCCACTGGCGACTTGTTGAGGAGCCAGGGGAGGGCCTGGCAAGGGGAGGCAGGAGGGTGGCCTGGACCTCCCCACTACCTCCTGCAGACTTTGAGAAGCCCCCAGTGGAGACATCTGCCACCCCAGCCATGGGCCATACGGGCGCCCTGACCTGCTGCCCAGCTGGAACTGGGGGTGCTCGGCAGTGCTGAGGGAACCTGGGAAGGGATGGAGGATACAGGGAAGCCCATGTCTTGAAAGAGGTGGCTGGAGCGCCAGCACAGAGACTGAACGCTGGGGTCCCTTCCTGGGACCAAGATGGAGAAGGTGTTCCTAAGGGAGGAGGCAGAAAGAGGCCGCCGAAGGCTCTCTGGGGTCATCACCGCTCTGCATCAGCTGCCCTTCCAAGGAGCTTCTGCGGCTGCTCCTTCTCCCAGCCCCGGCCCATTCCTCCCCTGCAGTCTGAGGAGGCAAAGGTACGTGCACGGGGCACATTGACAGGACACAGAGGACCACCTCATCACGGGGTTCCCTGCATGGGGATCTGTAAACAGAAAGTTTCTGCACCCACCCGAGGAAGAACCAACTGAAAGCGCAGACCTGAGAAGAGGTAACTCAGCCCCTTCCTGCTCCTCTGCCCTCATCAGATGTCCCCAGGAGCAGCAGGGCAGAGGCCCTTCTCCTTTCTATTCTTACAAGGGTAGCTAGAGCGCGACCACTCAGGGCTCATCAAATGAGACTTGTGTGCATTTTCCAGAAGGAAACCTTGGTTAGTCCTTGCTGGGTAACACAAAGTGGGGTGAGACAGGGGCCGAATTCATGGAAGGGGGCTTTCTCCCTAAAACTCTGGGTGGTGGGAAACCAGCTATACCTCCCCAAGACCCAGGGTCTAAAGAGAAGACCCCCCAAAGCCAAAGATGTGGCCACTTAAAAGAGTCTCCTGCCTCCTACCCAACTGAGTGCCTGGGCCCCCAGCTTGGTCAAGATGGGCAGTACATTAGGGTAAGAACCCCATGCTTCAAACTGAAGGACTGACCTTCACCTGAGTCCCAAGTAGGACCCTTCCTCCCTTCTCGGGACTGCCCCTGCACCCTGCCTTGAAGACCATCCAGGCGACCTCCAGTGTGGGCCTGGTCCAGACACTGCAGATGCTTCAATCATGATGTCGCCCCAGGCCTGCCAGGGGTGGGGTGGAGGGGAGGGTCACGTGCTCCAGGGAGAAGCCCTTTCTGGAGAAGCAAGGCTGCCCTCCCAGGGCTGCCACCACCTGAGACCTGGGGGAGCTGAATTCCAAACAGTGATGGCGACATTCAGCACCTTTGCCATAGCTGGGGGGAACCGGCCTCTGCCTCTGGGATGGGCTCTCATTGGGACCACCGTGTAGCCCAGCCAGGGAGGACATGAGAAGGACCAGTGGGGGCCTCAGTGAACCAGAACAAGCCAAGCTGAATGGGGTCTGTGTGTTCTCCAGGGCCCTCTTCAGCCCCCTCCTCCAAAGGTCTGGGTCCCTGCACCAACCTACTGAAGGTGGGCTCATCTCACCTGAGCACCTGCACCAGGCCCCAGTCACAGGGCTGCCCTGAACTCAGATCACCTAGGCCTTGTCCCTGCCCCACCTTTGCCCCATCCCAGCCCCAGACGCTCCAAGCGTCACCGCAGGTGAGAAATTGTGCTCCATGGGCAGAAACTGCTGCACCCCCAGAGTGTGGCCCACATTTTGGCATGGGGCTGTCTTTCCAGAGAGCTTGGGTTGGCTGGAGAGAGGCTGTCTTTCCCATTCCTTGTCCGGCTAGGACTAAGGGGGAAATGATCCTAGCCCAGCCCCTACACACCCAGGTCCCACAGGCCCCTCCCCACTGGCATTTCACCAACCAACAAGGAGAAAGGACACTGTTACAGCGCAGCAGTCAGGCCCAGCAGGAGCTTGGCACATGGTGGGGAGGTGGCCAGCTCAGACCCTGCCCGACCTCATCGTGTGTATTTGGTATATGGGGCGTGGGACATGCCAGAAGCTGGCCTGGGGTCTCTCCTTCACTGGACACAGCTTGCTGGAGCCTGCCCCCAGCCCCTGAAGCCCCTGCCAGACTGTGGAAGCCACATATGGGAAAGGTCCTGGCAGACAATGTGGCGGGATGGCTGGGGGCTTCTCCCTCTGAACCTGGGTCCAGTGTAGCCTGGCTCTGAGAGAAGGTGGTGAGCATGTGGAGAAGGAGAAGGTTCCATAGTCCACTCTTAGGGGAACCAGCAAAGCCTCATGGCAGTTGGCTCCATCTGGACCTCCCATGGTCACTGCAGGGCAGTGGAGCGGGGCATCCTTTAGCCTCCCCACCATCACATCCAGGCCCTCTCAGGCACCTCCTGCCTCAGCCCACACCTGCCTTGTCCATTGCCCCCCTCCCTCCACCTACTGCCATCCCACTCCTCCGCCAGCCACTTCCCAGCCGCCCCACCCCACTCTGTCCTCCAAATCACCCCCCGACTTAATCCTTTCTGGAAGGAGCTGCCGCCTGGGAACCGGTATTGCCTAGAGCCTCCAGGAGGGGCCCTCCTCAGGCCTCCAGTGGCCCCATGCCCGCCTGCCTGACCCTCCACTGCCCCGGAAGCAAAGTGCCTATCAGCAGCGTTGCGTCATCTGGGGCCCCCAGTGGGGTGGGGGGGTGTGGGCTAACCTTGGCCACCACCACTAAAGGAATGTGCCAGAATGCTGAACCTTCTTGTTAATGCTATGACCGTGCCTTGAATAAACAAGTCCTCCCAGCCTCTCCCGGCCCCTGCCTCTGCCTCTGCATCTGGGCCAGCCTGGCCTTGCTCCGCTGTGCAGTGGGGAGAACTTTCTGGTCCTTGAGCTACCCAGGAAGCCAGCAGAGTAGCCCCGAGAGGCAGTAGAAGTCCCTGGTGAGTGCTGAGCCCCATGAGTGGGCCCATGGGCTAGGCTAGCAGCCAGACTTCAAAACACACAGATTTCAGCTGAGGCCCCAGGAAGAGCAGCAGACAGGGCTCAGGTCTGTAAGAGGATGAGGGTGGGGGACTTCGGGGATGGGGGAGGCAGAGGAGAGGTTGGGTCGGGGAGAGGTTGGCACGAGGGAAGTGTGTGGCGCAGCCAGGTGGGATAAGAAACACCTGTTAGCAAAGGCTGTTATAGCTGTGGTGGCAAGGAGACAACAGTTCCCTGCCCTGGGAGACACATCTCAGGGTCAGGAGACCCGTTCTGTCCCTCCCTCCAGCAGCTGCGTCACCCAGGCTGGCCACCTCATCCAGACAGTAGGGCTGGGAGGACATGAGGCGGACTGTTCTGCTTCGTGACTGAGCAGAGCAGGTTTGGGGGCAGAGGATGGGAATCTGGTGTGGGTGTTGGGTAGGGGGAGACTTCCTCCCATAGTGCTTCCCATGGGGACAGAGGATGACAGTCTCGGGGTGGCTGCCTAAGGACTGTTTCTCGCATCTCCCTTGCTGGGTCCTCTCCGCAAGCTTCCACAGTCCATCAGTGGCCACTGACTCAAAGTCCACCATGGTGTGGGCCTGGGCATGGGATCAAGACCTGTCCACTTGTCCCCTCTCCCCCTCAAAAAACAATTATTTTCCAAGTCAAGTCAGCCCTTGAAATCCACAAGGGCTGCTTCTCAGGAGAGAAGCCATGAAGACTCCCTGACTGGACGGGAGGGGCTGCGCCCTGCTGCGGCCTCTCATGGTCCCCTCCCAGGGGCCGGCAGCTCCAGGGTCCCCAGATGGCAGGCCTGGGACACTCTGTGGGTCAGCAGACCTGTCAGGGGCCTTTCTCAGGCAGAGACTGAGAAAGAGACAGAAAAAGAAGCTGAAGAGGGAGGGCGGTTGCCCCAGGGATGGAACATCCTCCAGGGAGGTTAGCATTGGTCGATCCTCTCTCCACTCAGCAGGCAAGGAGGGACTGGAGGCCTGCAGGTGGATTTACTTGGGCTGGGGACGGGACTGGGGCAAGGCAAGAGGGAGCCCCAGGAGGTGGCGCCACTGGGCTGTGCCCAAGATAGGATTGGAGCACGTGACCGAGCGCTGTGCAGGGAGGAAGCAGCGGGGCCTGAGAGTGCCCCATGCCTCTGCCCAGAAACCAAGCCTGGGGCCGCATGGGGCCCTGCCAGGGAAGCCTGGGGCAGCTCACTTCTGTCCTGAGGAACCTCCTTGCTGGCCGATTCCAGGTTTCTAGGTCTGCTCTGTGGAAGGCCTTGGGGAGGCGAGGAGAGCCTGGTCTATGGGGAGACAGGTTTCTAGGCTTTCTCAACAGAGGCTGCTTTCAGAACATCTGCCAGGCCCTCGGCCTGGACAAGCGGCAGCCCGGCAGCTCTCACCCTCAATTTCCAAGGTTCTCCATCTCAGCCACAAATGGGAGTCACTCTCAATGTCCAGGCCCCATCCCTAAACAAACCACAATTTCTCCAGTGGGGCCCAGTACCCTGTATTTTACAAAAGTCCCCCAGGTGATTCCAGTGTGCAGGGAGGGGTGAGTGGATAAGGAAAACAGTCCCAGCCTCAGGCACTGCATGCCCTGGGTGGCCGCAGCGTCTCACCATTGCCAGCTTGGAAATGACAACTCCCTAGCTCAGGCACGCTTCTGCCATCATTATCTTCTTTTGCAATAAGTATGACTACCGTGTGGGCCCAAGGGCCACACACCAGGTGTCGGGGGACTTCTGGCTACCTTGTCACCTTCAGCGAGGGTTCGAAGACAGTCCCTCTTCCCTCCCCTCCAAACACAGAGCCCAAGTGGTTTCCATGACCGCCTGCCCATTTCTGTGCAATAGAACATGATAACTGCAGTCAACAAATAGGCCGACATAATGGGGTGTCAGGGAGAGACAAAGCTGGATAAGGGTGGGGGGTGCCTGGAAGCGGGGAGGGGATGCTTTGCACTAGGGGGGCCAGCACAAGCTCTGTGGGGGTGAGACATGAGAGCCAGCAAAGGGTCTGTGGGCACACATGCAGGGCCCAAAGAACCGGGCAGAGTGAGCGAGGGGAGGAGAGGGTGGGGCGAGGTTTGAGTGGGCAACGGGCTGTGCAGGCTACGCTGGGACTCCCAAGTGTCACTCATCACCCGAGAAACTCCGGGAGGATTCTGGGGAGGAGGATGACCCCCTTAGGTATTTGTTTTCCAGGTTTTTTTGTTGTGGTGGTGGTGGTGGTAAAGTACACATAATCGTATGCACCCTCTTAACCATTGATGGGTTTTTTGTTTGTTTTTTGTTGTTGTTGTTGTTGTTGAGGCAGAGTCTTGCTCTGTTGCCCAGGCTGGAGTACAATGGCATGATCTCATTGCACTGCAACCTCCGCTTCCCAGGTTCAAGCAATTCTCCTGCCTCAGCCTCCCGAGTAGCTGGGATTACAGGCACACGCCACCACCATTTTTATATTTTTAGTAGAGAGGGGGTTTCACCATATTGGCCAGGCTGGTCTCGAACTCCTGGCTTCAAGCAATCCACCCACCTCGGCCTCCCAAAGTGCTAGGATTACAGGCGTGAGCCACCGCACCCATCCACCATCTTAACCATTTGTAACTGTCCTGTTCAGTGGCATGAAATACATTCATAATGTGCAACCATCACCACCAGCCATCCTCCACAACTCTTGATCTTGCAAAACTGAGACTGTATACCCATAAACAATAATTCCTCATTCTCTCCTCCCCATCAGCCCCTGGCAACCACTCATGTAACCCTTGTGCTGAAATGGTCACTGTCACGAGGGTGGGACAAGTAGAAGCAGAAAGCCCAGTTGGGGACAGGTGTGGTGGTGCACACCTGTAATCTCAGCATTTTGGGAGGCTGAGGTGAGAGGATTACTTGGGGCCAGGAACTTGAGACCAGCCTGGGCAACAAAGCAAGACCCTATCCCCACAAAAATTTTAAAAATTAGCTGGGGCATAGTGGCATGCACCTGGAGTCCCAGCTACTCAGGAGACTGAGGCAGGAGGATTCCTTGAACCCAGGAGTTAAAGGCTGCAGTGAGCAATGATCATGCCACCACACTTCAGCCTGGGCAACAGAGTGAGATCCTGTCTCAAAAAAAAAAAAAAAAAAAAAAAAAAGCCTAGTTGGGACTGTGTCGGAGGCATGCAGGAGAGAGAATATGGTAGCTTGCACCAGGATAGGGAGTGAATAAAGAAGCAGTTAAATTTGTAACACAGGTCAAGGATTCATGGATGATTGGATGTGGGGTCTGAGGGAAAGCAGGAATGCAAGGATGACTCCCAGTTCTTTAGTGTGAAAACTCAGCAAACACTGATTTCTGAGGTGGAGAAAGCTGGGAAGAAAAAGGCCAAGGGAAACCCCAAGAGTTCCATCTTGAGTGTGTTCCGGTTGAGATGCCATGTGGGGATGTCAAGGAGGTGGCTGGATACAGGAGTCAGGCTGGAGGTGTTCATTTCAGTCATCAGCACCTGGGTGGTGATTAAAGCATGGGACTGGCTGAGACTTTGATGGGAACAGGTGCAGGTGAGGAGGTCTGAGGGCTGAGCCAGCACAAAGATATAGGAGGAGAACCGGCAAGGAAAACCAGGAGGGACTCAAAAAGGAAGGACGGCGTCCCCAGCTCTAACCACGCTTGAGAGTAAATGTGGCGTAAAGAGGAGTAAAGTCAAAAGTTGCCACGAAGCAGCTTCAGCCAAGTGGAGAATGCTGGAGAGACCATTAGACAAATGACCCGCTTCTCCCACACAGCAATGGTGAGGGGAAATGGCAAGAGGGACTGGGCCAAAGTGAATGAGTGAAGAGACACAATCAAATGCAAAGTGTGCATCCTGAGTTGAACAAACCAACTGCAGAGAGGCGTCTGGGAAATCTACATGTGGATGAATGTGGGCCATCAGGGAATTGGAATTAGGTGGTGATGAGGAGATACTGTTTGTCTTGTTAGATATATTGGTGGCGTGGGTTCATATGTGAAATAAAGTGCCAGCTAGAAATTCATATGGAATAATTTACAGGTAAAAGAACATGAAGTCTTGAATTTGCTTAAAAACTCTCCAGCAAAAACAAAAAAACACAAAAAATGGTGGTGGGGGGGTGCAGTTGGGGTACACGGAGATGCCCTCATCTCTTGATTCTTGTGTATGTTAACATTTTTCCATAATAAAAAGTGTAAAACTAAAGGCATGACCAACTTTTTCAAGTGCTGCTGAGCAGGAGAGGAAGATAAGGACTAAGATGTGACCCTACATTTGGCAAGATGGGGGTGGTTGGTGACCTTGACTGTAGTAGATTGAAAATAGGGACAAAGCCTGGTTGAAGCAGGTTCCCATCCTCCCATAAGAAGTGAGGAGATGAAAACAGCAAGGAAAGACTACTCTTTAGAAGGGTTTTGCTATCGAAGGAAGTAAAGAACCAAAAGGGTAGCTGGAGAGGAAAGGAAGTGAGGGGCTGTTCTTTGTATAGGAGGGGAGATGTGAGCTGACAGAGGAGGGATGCAGGAGAGAGAGAGGGCTGAGCCCTTGAGCAGAGGAGGAGGTAAGGGATATTCTCCCCTGATACAGATACGTGTGTGCATACACACACGTACACACACACACGTGCACACACACCAGTTTATGCCCATGCACACACACACTCACGCCTAAGTAGAAGAGTGGCTTTCAGAAAAGGTGAAAGCACCCATGCTTAGGATGACTCAGACACAAGTCAGAGGAGGGCATTAGATCTTTCCAAAGCCAGGCCACCTCAAGAGCTGTGGGCCAGACATGGACACCTGAGCCTGACCCATTAATAGGTCACACAGCAGATGAGGCCCTGCCTCATTGGAGCCTGTAGGGCTCCAGAAAATGCTTTGGGCACCACAGAGGGCAAGGCGTTCCTAACACGCTGCAGACCTAGTGCCTGCCATCACATAGCCTGGCAGGCTTGGCATCTGAGCTTAAAGAAAACGAGGCCCCATCTGGGAGCTGGCAAGGCCCCATGGGCATCTGCTACATTCAGTGTCAACTGAGAAACTGGAAGCCTAGGGCGAGGACAGCCAGCCCAGGCACAGGCCTTGCAGCCATGCGTGGGCTCTGGATCCACTGCTGAGGCTGGAACACGTGGAGGTAACCCTAAACCTGCTCCTATCATGCCCACTCAACGCAGTTCCTCCTCCCTACATCCCTGGCTGGCTTTCTAGCCCACAGCCTGTGGGGTCCTAAGCCCATGACCAATGACCTGCTTCAGACCATGGATCAGTCTGGGTATGGGTTTAACTAACCCCAAAATGTATAATGGCATAAGCACAAGAGAAATTTGTCTCTTTCATATAAAACTCAAAATGGGTGATTCTGATTAATGGGCACCTTCCTCCAAGCAGCGATTCAGGGTTGGGAGTCCTTTCACCTGTGGCTCTGCCATGTTTAACACATAGCCCTCATGGTCTCTGTGAGGTCTGTATTACACCAGCAGAAGGATGACAGAACATGGAGGAGCATGCAGGAGTTTTGGGGGACCAGGCCTGGGAGTGGCAACACATCTGCATGGTCCAGCGGCCAGAGCTCAGTCACACACCCCACCTAATTGCAAGGGTGGCTGCGTGACATCCAGCTGTGTGCCCAGGAGGAAGAAGAGCTGGGTTTGTGACCTGCCAGCCAGTTTGGGCCACAGATCCCACAGATGTCTGCCACTGGCTTCCCAGAGCTTCCTCCCAGGCCTTGGCCTCCTTGACTCCATCCTCCCATCCCGCCTTGAGATCCGCTGCCCTGCAGCTTCACCTGGCACAGGCCAAGACCCAAGAAAAGACCAGGCCCGAGGGTCAGAGAGGCACACAGTACCAGTTTATTTCTCATGAGTTTATAGGATCACAGACAGCACAGAGCAAACGGTAAAAGTGCAGACGGCTGGGGTGAGGGCAAGGGCCTCCGCAGCTGCCTTCTCTCCAGCTGCCTGAGTACAGGCACACAGCGGGCAGTGAATCTGAGAAGCTGTGGCCTCACAGTCGCTGCAGGCTAAGCCAGAAAGGAGGGCCGGGGGAGGTAAGACTCACTGCTGCAGGAGCACGTTGGTGATGAAGGGCTGGGGGAACTTGGGTCTCTCTGGGATGAAGTCACCCCTCCTTCCTGGCCAGTCCCCAGCCCCTCCCCACCTGGCCAGCTAGCTGGGTTCCCGCAGCAGCGGAATAGTCAGGGAGTTCCTGGCAGAAGTACTGAATGAGGGAAAGGGAATGATGCCAAAGGAAACCAACCCTGTCAGGGCATCTGCACAGCCCGCGCAACTCAGATGAGCCCTATTGAGACCCAGGTACCCCTTCCCTTCCCTGGCAGTTCTGATTCTGCTCCCAGGCCTGGGATTCCACCAAGAAGGCTAAAGTTGCCTTTCTCTTTATTTGTGAAAAGCAAGCCATCTTGGGGCAGGAAAGCAGTGAAGGGACTGGGCAAGTAAGATAGAAAGTGCTGGAAGCTCAGCCATCTCACCCCTGCCTTGGCCTGCACTCACCTGAAGAAGCAGGACAGACAGAAGAGCCCCATCCCCTCCCACCCCCATACCTTTCCAGCTCCATCCCACCTCTGCCACCAAAACATTCCTCACAGGGCCAGAGGGAGTGCCAAAAAAGTAAAAAAAAAAAAAAAAAAAAAAGGCAGGAAAGAGGCTATTGGGGATGAGGGGACACCCAGAAGCCCCTTCCTGGAGGAAAAGCCACTCCTGCAGTTGGACTCTGGGAGACTGAGACCCAGCCCTGCCCCAGCACCTCTCCAGTATGGCCAAGGGGACAAGGACCAAGATGCAGGGAAGCTTGGAGAGCCTGGGCTACAACAGATACAGACCAACAGACAGACACAAACAGATGGGGGCCACTGGGCAGGGTCGCCTCTTACTCGCTGTCCCAGCCTCGACTCATGGCCTGCACCACAGCCCCGTAGAGCTGGCTCCAGGCGGCCCGTGTGGCTGGTGTGAAGGCAGGGCCCAGACACTTCTCCAGCATGTAGAGCAGAGATTCACCCACTGTCTGCAGAGGCAAGAGGCACCTTGTCACTTCCAAAGGCAGGAAGGCACTGGTCCATTCCACAGGTGAGAAAACTGAGGCCTAGGGTTGATTAGGGCTCTTGGCCCTTTTTTTCCTCCTGCACGGAGTCCATGCTTCCTGAGCCGGGTCCTACCCAAATCCTTGGGTATCACATTGTGCCCACCTTTCCCTCTAAATGTGAGGCTTTATATCCTCACATTTTTCATCCCACTCTTGGTCTTGCAAACACCCCATGAGTGGGGTCAAGACATTGCCTGGGACCTCCCAGCTTAGACCAAACCAAGTCATTGCCCCCAGACTTGAGTTTCCTCATCTGCAAGGCAGCAATGATGGGGTTAAGAGTCTGGACTCTGGAGCCAGTTAGACCTGAGTGCAGATTCTGACTCCACTCTTCATCAGCTGGGTGACCTTGAGTAAGTTATGTAACCTCTCTGAGCCTCAGCTGCTTCATCAGTGATATAGGGAAAGTAGAAGCTCCACCTCCTGGGTCTGTTGGGATGATTAAATGGGATAATCCAGAAAAAGCTCTTAGCACAGCATCTGTATACAGGAAGCCTACAATGATAACAGGCCAGGCACAGTGGCTCACACCTATAATCCCAGCAGTTTAGGAGGCCGAGGTGGGCAGACCACTTGAGCCCAGGAGTTTGAGACCAGCCTGGGAAACATGGCAAAACTCCATTTCTACCAAAAACTACAAAAATTGGCTGGGCATGGTAGTGCATGCCTGTAGTCCCAGCTATGAGGGAGGCTGAGGTGGGAGGATCACTTGAGCCTGGGAAGTTGAGGCTGCAGTGAGCTGTGATCACATCACTGCACTCCAGCCTGGGTGACAGAGCAAGATTCTGTCCCCAAAATAAATAAGTAAATAAATAAATAAATAAAGATAATGGCTTTCATTTGCTATTACTACTCATAATAAAATAAGGTTTATTTATCTCACAAATATTAACTGAATATCCACAGTAGCCCTGGTAGATCAGGCATTGTGCTGGTGCTGGGGATGGAGAGGAGGACAAGACCAACACAGCTCCTTCCTCAAGGTGCTCACCATCTGGCAAGGTGACTGGACTGTTTGGTAGACTGTCATATCAGTTGCCCCCAATGGGCCACACCTCAAGGATTCATGCCCTTGACTGGGTCCTCCCACATTGACACTGGGCTTATCCATGTGAGTGGCTTTGGTCAGTGGGACATTAGCAAGAGTGACGCAAGCAGAGGCTTTATAGGCGCACACTGGGGCCTGTCCTCTAAAAACTCCCTCTCAGAACTCAGCTTCCATTCTATAAAGAAGCTCAGCTAGACTAGTGAATGACAACAAACCGCAGGAACAGAGCTCAAAGGCTGACAGGCCTTGGACATTCTAGCCTCAGTTGAACTCCCAGCTAAACACAACACACAAGTAACTCCAGTTACACCATGCAGAGCAGAAGAGCTGCCCAGCTGAGCCCAGCCATGAGAAATCGGAAAGCATTGTCATAGTTCTAGGGTTGTTTGATACATAGCAATAGGAAATTAAGCAGACCAGCTAATCCCAAAGGCTCCTTAACTTTTATGGTTTTAAAAGAAGCCATATCAGAAAAGAGAACTTGGAAGCTCAGAGAGGTCAAGCCCATGTCAGGGCCACACAGCAGGTAACAGATGCAGGCCCACAGCCCTGGTTATCTAAGGATATGGGAATGGGAGACAGAACAGGTGGCTAGGGGAAGTCTGGGAGAGAGAAGTGGCCCCAGGCCAGGAGCTCTGGAGAGAGTCAGAGCTCCTTTACCCACCGAGAAGGAGCTGAGCTTCACACCCACTGCCCGGTGCTTCCTGCCCAGGCTGGCAAGGTACTCCTCCAGTGAGGACAGGTCTTCCACATTGGTCACCGCAGCATCAATCACGAGCATCACCTGCCAAGGCCAAGGCAGCAGTGAAACAGAGAGGCCGGAGCAACCACATCTTCTCACAATCACAGCCCAAGGCATGAGGGTCCCAAAGCAAGAGAGGCCAGCAGGACCCTCAGTTTCCAGGATCAGGGGTCAAAGGCAGCCTGTGTCTACTACATATAAGGGGCACACGATACATGGTGGCCAAACTACTAATGTTACACCCATGAAGGAAGCCTCTCTCCTCTGAGGAATTCACATCTCTAAACACGCCTACTGGAGAGTGTTGTCTGCCGGGACAAGTAGAAACTGAGGCCCTTTGAGAATCATGAGATTCTAAGAAAATCTCAGCCTGGTTTTCATAGGCAGATTGTTCCCAATGACGAGGATCTGTGCTAACACAACCTATGGGAGCCAGGGGACAAAGGCAATAACAGAGGCTGGGACCAGCTCTCTGAACACAGGGTAGGGAAAGAGGCTGATTTTGATGTCCCAGACCAATCCAGTCCAGAGGGAAAGGAGCTGATACCCTGCTTGGGGGAAAAGGAGGGGAGTAAAACTAGGCCTGGGGCAGAAAGTCATTTTCCCCATTCTCCACCAGGGAGGTGCTTTGCTGGATCCCAGAGGTCACAGAAGCTCTGCCTCCCTCTCACCTTCCTGATGTGGTCCAGGAACTCAGGTGAGGAGAGACAGTCCTCTGGGCTGGAGAACTGGCGGCAGTTGTACTGAAAGAGGGGCAGCAGGTCAGGCTCCAGGGCAAACAGCCTGTGGGGGTGAGGCCCAGGTGTTAGCCCTGAGGTGTGAGCCCCTGCAAGCCCCAGCAAGCCTGGCTGTCCTGCAGTCAGAGGGCGGGGATGCCGAGCCGGGTCTCAGCTGCAAACCACAGCAGACTCTCCCACCTGGCACTGCTCCCTAGCCAGCTTCGGTAGTGCCCTCCTCCTCACACCTACTGGCTCTGGGCAGCATCCTAGAAAGGGCAAATGTGTCCCAGGGCCTCTGGCACGCAGGATCCCCTCCATGAATAGCTGAAGGGTGTGATTTGGGACAGGAAGATGTCCCCAAACAGGAAACCTGGAGTTACATTGTGTGGAGAGCGCTCGCTCTCTCTCTCTCTCTCTCTCTCTCTCTCTCTCCCCCCACCCCCAACCCCGTGCTGAGTACTTTCCGTGTGCTTAACTTTTAACTGTATTCCTCACCATCCTAAGCAGTGGGTACAACTGTTACCCCAGTTTTACAGAGGAGAAAACAGAAGCCCGGCGAGGCTAGAACTCGTCTAAAGTCACACAGCTTGGATGTAGTGGAGCCACAGCGGGTGCCCGAGAAAAAAGTGAGCTGGGGGAGTCTGGAGGCAGAAGCAGAGGCTCTCCTTGGCATTTGGGAAGTCTCACCGGGTAACTGAATTTTTTCCCCTTTTGTATTGGGGGCGGTTTTGCGGAAACCTGGGCAGAAGTTCTGGGCTGCCCGAGGGTGCCAAGGATTGGGAACACCACGGTGAGGAAAGCAGTGCTAGGTTGGTGATGGCGGAGGGGTTACCGAGACGGCGAGCTGAGGTTGGAGACTGGCCTTCCCTTCCCCCCGGGGCCTGTGCACCCGCCTGTGCACCCCCCAACCCTTCTCCCCTGCGGTGAGGCTCCCGCATCTGTCACCCCTTCCCCGGCGGCTCTCTGGCTCTTTCTCGGAAAGGTTTGTCTTGTTGGTTGTCAGGAATCCACACACCTGGAGCCAGACAGCTCACACATGGGCGCAGGAGCTCGCCCCGCACACCTCCCCTCCCCGGCCCTCGGGGCACCCCAGTACCCTGATACCTGCAGCGGGGTGCACCCCTGCAGTCACACGCAGGAGGCACAAGGCGGGGTGGAGGCCCCGCGCAAGGACGGAGGTCCACCCGCCCAGTTGTGTGGAGATCCGCGGGAGGAGACCCCGCCCGGCCCGGTGAGCCCCGCTGGGAGCCGGGTGTG